CGGACACCAGACCTTCCAATGTCTCCGCTGTGGTGGAATCCACCGTGACCTTAACAGTGCATTGCTTATGTCTACCGCCCCATTGCCGGATGACGACTGAGCGATATCCCCGCCGACTGCTCGTGGAGGAATCTATCAGCTCGTTGAAATTCAATGGCATGCAACTGCGCGTGTCTGCGACACATTTTGAGGCAGTCCCTGTCTCCAGCCGCCATTGAAGATCCGAATCGAGAATGGCTGCCTTGCAACCGCAGAGCAATGCTGCAGCCCAAACACGAATTAATGCAGGACACCAGGTCGCAGCTCAGAGTATTCCAGCGCCCCGCACCTTCCGCTTCCGGCCGTTCCGCTTCTGGCGTTAGAAAAAATACGGTCGCCTCTGGCATGGCGACTTGACACCTCCGTTCGTTCTGCGCAGGGGCACCAGCAGCGTCAAAAGCTGCCAGAGGACTGCACGGTTCATGACGGCATGACGCATGATGAACAGCATGCATGCCGAGGCTCCGACACCAGAGGAGCTGCCAGAGGACTGCACGGCTCATGACGGCATGACGCATGATGAGCAGCATGCATGCCGAGGCTCCGACACCAGAGGAAACAGTACGTTTCCATTGCTGACCTTGACATTATGCACTGCGACAATCGTACATCGATGTCGTTCCCGCGTGACATGCCGATTAGGTTGCGCAGGAACGATGATCATTTAGGCAGCAGAACCGGTTCATATGTTTAGGCCACGCCATTGAGCAAACATGCTCTCACGAGCGCATTATCCGTCGATCAGCCAGCCCATAGCGTGCCTTTGGAATGCACATACTATCATTGGATGGCTGGAATGTCCAGGCTGTTCAGGTTTATGGGAGCGCAAGCTACTCAGACACCCAGAGCACATGATTCGCCTGTACGTAGCCTGTACGAGAAGAGCAGGCCCGGCCCCATTGCCACCTGCATGCATCCACAGCCGTTTATCATATCAGGGCGGTGAACATCGGGGACGATTCAAACCGCACCTGCTCGAGTGTCAGAATTACCGGGCGTTCGAAAGCCCGGTGACACAGAGCCAGAGGTCAGTGTTCTCAGAGGCGAGCGAGGATAGCAGGGGGCCAGCAGCGGTCGTTCGATGTCAGTTATTGGCTACATGTGTCCGACGTCGAACATCTTTCCCAGTGGCGAAGCTCACATCACTGGGCAGAATCTGCACAGTCGGTGTGTTTATGGGGCCCTTGAGACCCGAAGTCAGGTCTCCAATCACAGTCGGGGAGTTCTAATGCATTCAGCCTTGTCCAGGATGTCCCCCAATGCTATTCCAAGGTTACATACATCGATTGAGTCGCTGTCATGGCACTGAGGATTCCCGTCAGTCAGGCGCAAGGTCATAGCCTAGGTGAACCGGACTTGAACACGTCTATAAAACTGATAAATGCCTCTGAGGTCTAAAAATGTTTTATGGGTGGCCTCTACCGGCGTACTGGACGAACCGCTCCTGGTTCTTAAAAGTCAGCGCTTTGGCATGTAAGATCAATCTTCGACGGAACACAGGAAATGGTACTGATAAACTCTCTCTTCGACGAAGCTGCAGTGGATCATCAGCTGATGCCAGCCAGCATCAAGCGCACTATCTTGTTTGTAGGGCGCAGAGAGCCTATCAGGGATCAGTTAATGGTGATCGTTCAGCATGGGCTTTTCAAGGCTTAACCCAAGCTGAATAGTCACCTGGACTGTTCCCTATAACCATGTTAGTGTCAAGTGACCCCTTGGCAGCCTTATCGACCGCCGCCCCCAATACTGATCAGAACTTCCGGACGTCTGCGGTGAACACCGATACCAAGCACCAGGACGAGAACGGACCGAACCCGGGGTCTTTCCTGCACCAGGGCGAGAACGGACTGAACCCGAGGTCTCTCCTGCACCAGGACGAGAACGGACCGAACCCGAGGTCTCTCCTGCACCAGGACGAGAACGGACCGGACCCGAGGTCTCTCCTGCCCCAGAGCGAGAACGCCAGAGGTCTCTCCTGCCCCAGAGTGAGAACGGACCGAACCCGAGGTCTCTCTCTGCACCAGGGCGAGAACGGACCGAACCCGAGGTCTCCTCCACAATATGATCTCGGCCGCCGCACACAGCGCACCACAGCTGTCGTTGTGTCTTCTTCGCTTCCTCGGATCAGTATCAACGAGCGGCTCAGTCGGCTGTGCTGTACCGCCCGGACCGCCAATACCGTGTTTGACAGGTACAGGCATGTCGGATGTATCGCTGCCCGGTTATTCTAACACGACGGGACAGCCGTCTTCCACTCGTGAAGGTCATAATGGCGGACTACGTCAGGCCTACGTGCTTACGGCGCATAATTAGTGTTCAGCTGGCTGGAGTCTCAGAGCGGCAGAAGATGGCGCGCTGCGCAAGCGTGAGACGCAGCGTTGGAGGATTTTCGTACCGCACCAACTCGATTCAACGTCGAGACAACGCAATGTTCTCCTAGGTTGTTCACGTTGAGTGCGATCCACAGAATGTAATGGAGTGGGTCGCACAAATCTCTCAGTTACATGCATCTCAACACCGTTCTTTGAAGCAGACGTGGTTTTTCGGCGTTCGTCGCGGGGTCTGCGCAGTATCGCGAGGCGGCCGATATGCGTGCCACCCCACGACCACCGCGGCGTTCGTCGCGGGGTCTGCGCAGTATTGCGAGGCGGCCGAAATGCGTGCCACCCCACGACCACCGCTGCGCAGAAGTCGCCGCTTCGCCGCATTACGGCCGTCTTCGCATCGCTTCCGCCGTTCCTCGCCCTGCCGCGGCCGCGGCAGCGGCGGCGGCGGCGCGGGCTCGCTGCGAGCACCTACCTTTGAGGCGCGCCCCTGATCCGGCTCGTGCTCGCTGTTCTCCGGGATGGCCGTATACTCGATCATCATCTGGATCCGCCAGCGCTTGTCCTCGGCGCCCCGGTCGACGGTGCTGCCACCTTTTGCTGCGAGGATCTCGTGCACCGGCGAGCGGCTGCGGAGGTACTTGTTGCGACGAGAGGGCGGCTCCTTCATCCTGGGGTGCAGGAACGGCGTGGTTAGCGTCGGCGATGCGGAAGGACGCTGAGGGGTACGACAGTTGTTGTCGATCCAAGCCCGTTTGATGTGAGAAGTACTGGAAGATAAATGCAGTGACACGGAAATCACTATATTTCCCAAGCTTACAAGCATTCTGACGCCCCGGGCTGGAGCATGGTTTGAATGTCCGGTTATGGTGGAAAAGTCCGTTACTGCTCTCTCCTCGATGACAGGGCTTGGTACGTCAAGGACATGGGAGAACCCCGTTGGGAGTACGGGTATCACATTCTGCCAGTGGTATTAATTTTTCAGAGCACATCAAACGGCCGCCATGCGGTTGACACACAAACATCCTGAAATATCGCACATAGCTGCAATACTTATGGGGACGAACCCATTCCTGTGATCTGTGCATGCATTCATCGGGGCCATGCTGCCGCGTTCACCTGGTCGCAACCCGGTTCCGGGTTAGGTTTGTGCTTTTTCATCATCATTGAACCGCTCTGACCGATCTAGCTGGGGCGCCGACGTGGGGGTGGGCCTCCTTAACCATGGGGTCTTGACATATACAAAAATATCAATACATATACATACACATATATAAAATATACATATATATATATAATAAAATGGTCATACATACATACATATATATATATATATATATTCTATATATATATATACATATATATATAGAATATACATATACAAACAGAAACGAGCGGCGCCACGTTGTTCGGGGGTCGCGTCCATGATTGATTCGTAGGAGGCATGTCAGAGTAAATCAACGATTTTTTGGGAGTCATGTATTGGGCGGAACACTTACTTCTTCACATCCGATTTAACTCCAAAATAACTGAAAAATATTGGTCCATATTTCAAAAATAGGCCATATATCGCAAATATCGAACACTTTGGGTCACCATAGGCAAAGTAAGAGCATACGCAACGGGGGTAATACATTGACGTTGGTTTCGGCGCAGGCATCAGGGTGTTCATGTATCCTGCATTCTTCATCAGCTTTGAATATCCTGCATTCGCGACTGATCTCTGGCATCGCTGGGTTGGATGTTACATGTATTGCAACGCAGAGTACAAGGGTAAGCGCTTGTATGCGCCAGATCAGGCTTTAATAGGCATCAAATGTTTTCGTTAACAGGGCGGATCTAGCCTGCACTTTTTTGGGGGGGGGGGGAACCAACCGTTCGTCGCCAGCTGGCTTGTGTGGGATCCGAGGTCCAGTGCATGGTGCCTCTCGCGGGTACCTAGAAGGGACACCATTCAAGCACAGAAATGCTTTTGAATCTTAAACAGAAGTTAAAACAAAACAGCTAAAAGTTAAAGGTAAAACAGACGGTAAGTAGACGAGACTTTTATGAAGTACAGGAAATGCTTGGAGGGGGCAAAACATACTCTCAGGGTTTTTGTGGGGGGGGGGGCATGGCCCCGTGCCCCCCCCCCCCCCTTCAAGGATCCGCCTATGTTCATTAATATCATTCTCCATCATCTCACGTCCGCCACCAATCCACAGTAGCTTGTATGCCTTTGGGATTATTATGGTCGAACGTCGAAATGTAGAAGTATGAAAGAGATCTGAGTGGTATATGTAGTTAAAGCGAAAAAGCCAACCGCATGTTTTGCCCGTTTGAATGGGTCCCCGAATCCGTTAGAAATTTGTAACAGGCTATCAAGGTAAGTTCAGAGAGCACGATCTCGTTTCATACCTGATCCGTCCAAACCGGTAAAATGGATTACCAAATATCAGCGGGAGGGAGGGGGAAGCAGGGGGGGGGGGGGGTAGCTCCCCGCATCTCATCGCATACCAATAAGGTTGAGGGCACGTTTATTTGCATTATACACTGTCATTCGCGGCAAAGCTCAAAGATAGCCCCTCCTGCCACTGATGCAGAATACATCTGGATGAGTAATTGCAACACTTGCGTTGCATTGCAACAACACAACTCAGGCGTTTTGCACGCATTTCCAGCACATCATTTTTGTTTGTCCATTTGAGCCGGGTCATAGGGTAAAACGCGTGCTTTCAAACAGTCGCTTAAGGTCATCTCCAACAAATTAAATGGCGCAGAATGCATCGCACCTGATCACACATGCACCGGCCTTGGCCTTGGCTACCTCATTAACATGCACCCGGATGGCCGGTTGGATACATTTCGCTCGGGTGGGGGTCAATGTAATCCCCCCTAAGATCTCAGGAACTAAGCAAGCTAGAGACACCAAATGCACAGGATGTGTTGACCTGTACGTGAACTCACATATATCTAAGTTTGATATTCCTAGGTCACGACCTTTGAGTCAAATAAGATAAGACAAGGCCAGATTTTAGGTTGGCCTCCAAAGGGCCCTTAGAACCTAGATAACTGTTCTAAGCAGGCGTGCACATGCTTATCTAAGGTCAGTGACCTCGTCTGACCCTTGGGAGGTCATGGTGACCAAAATCATACAAGACCGCTTTGAGTTTTGCATTTGGATAAGCGACAAAGATAACGCTAGGCAGTATGTTCATGAAAACAAAGTGTTGACCTGGGTCATTCTAGGTCAGCGAACTATTCTGACCTTTAAGAAGTCCATGGAGGGTGTATAATGCGGTTTTTTATCAATAAATTCGAAATGAGCACCAGAAACTACTCCATACCGCAAGCCCTAGAGCAATAACACAGGTTAATTTTGACCTTGGTCTGACCTTCATACCTGACCTTAGGTCAATTCAATTTGTTGATTCAATTATTGTACTACCTAAGAAACTCTCTCAGATATGTATGGCTTCGTCTAACACTCTGTCGTTGGACCAGATTGAACGATCACTGGAAATTGCTTTCATTGAAACCACGGCCTGACTGACCTGCCATAGGTCAGCGACCTTACCAGGTACATCTAATTTTTGATTCCAGACGACCTGCTATTTAATTGTCTACAGCTATGCAAACTTTGCCGCGGCTAAGCCGCGCCGTTCGGAAACCATTCTAGGAAAAACCTTCAAGGGGTCAATTTGACCGCTCGCCCGGGCGCGTGTTAACGCGTCAGGCCTCCAAACCATCACCGCCCGGAAGCCTGGTTCAGCCCCGGAGCCGCCCGTGCGGCAGGGTCCCCCGCTGGTACGCGCCGGTGCCGCCCCACCCCGGCTGGACCCCGCTCCAGCATTGATCCTCGCGGCGCGATCTTCCCACAGTTTGTTGATGCCGGTGTGGAAAGGTCATTTGGCACCTGGCCCGAGGCGCCAGGTGGTAACACAGCGGCGGCGGCGCGCCGGTGCCGGCGACCCGAAGCCGGTTCCCGTCCGCCACTCCCACTCCCAGTGGCCAAAGGTCACTGAATCGATTGTCGATAATCAGAATCGCGCTGCGCATGGCATGTGGCGTTTGGATCAAGGTTCGCGCCAGGTTTTACGCGACTAGCCACGCTCGGTGTACTATGCTTTCTCCTATGCAATAGCAGCATCGCCGATTACCCGGAAAAGTAAATCAGGTGCATGTTCAACCCCGGCCCCGGCGGCAGTGAGGAAGTGCCCGTCCGACCACCTGTGGGTACGGGCGCGGCATAGCAGCTGCCTACCTGCATGCTGACAAATATATTCAGTGATAGCGATGCTTATTAGGTGACGTCATGGGGCGCTGCCGTCATGTATATGCTGCAGCGTGTGTAATGCTTCGGGAGAAGAGCGCCCGCATGCCTCAGTTCGACAGGCGGTACACGTATATGCACTACTCGGGGGTCTCGAGCGTCCGTTCAGTATGTCCATGTCTCGAGCCCAGTAGCGCAGGCAAGGGGGCACAGAGGGTACGTGCTCCTCCCCCTCCCCTTAGGTTCCGAGGGGGTTCCGAAGGCCCCTCGGAACCTGCAATTAAGGGCCCGATTTGAAGGCCAGAACGGCCCGAAAAGCCAAACGAAGGTCTCATTCAGGGGACCCAGCCCGCAGGTCCGGGCATTCCAGTGTCAGCCAGAGGGTCCTGCGTGCTGATCAGGGTCCCACGGAGTCGATGAGTTCCTGTATTTCGGTCAGGCCCCACCAGTAACACACAGCCGCCTCCGCGACGGCATGGGCTTGTGGGCCCATTTCCCAAGCAGGGACAAAGACGGAGCTAGCGATTTATGTTGCTCGAGGCCCCACAGCGCCTAACAGGGCCCTGTGTTGCCAAGAGGCACCGATGTCGGGCCAAAGGCAGTATTCGAGGAGGCCCGAAGAGCCCAGGGGCTCATGGCCCCGACAATGAATGGTCCGATTGGAAGGTCTTAGGGCATAAAGAACTGGTCGGATTCTTATTGAGCGGCCCGACCTGTGACGACGGACGCTCAAGTAACGGGCAGAGGGCACTTTGCGCCGATCGGGGACTCCAGAGTCGATATGGGCCTGTATGTTGGTCGGGTACTACCATTACCGCACAGTCGGCTCCGTGTCGGTATTGGCCTGAGAGCCCATTCCTAATCAGCTACAAAGCCGGGACCAGTGATTTACACTGGTCGGGCCCTCTGTATCTGCTAGGGGCCCACAGTGTCTATCAGAGGGTCCTGTGTTCGCAAGGGGCCCCACGCCGACCAAAAGCAGTGTTTGATGGGACCCGAAGAGGGGCCCGGCTTATTGGGCCCTCCAACCGTATTCCAACACAGGCCCGTTAAGCCCGACTGGAGTCTATGTGCCAGTTATCTAACCATCTGCGGCAAGCAGGGATGTTGCGTTAATGACGGTTCACGCCTCGATCTGGGGTCAACTGCACGCGTCAGGGAGCGGACTAATGCAATATAATGTAATATTCTGTGATTTTAGGTTGATGACAATTGAACGCATTGTTCTTTAAAGCACCACTTTGCGGTGCTGTAAAGACTAATGCGTTATTGTCATCAATTTAAAAACCGCACAGGTGAAATATACGCCCGGAATGTCTCTAAATGTACAATTTGGTCTCCAAAAGCGTTCAAAGGTACTTCTTTTCACATGCGTCACTACTTTCCTCCACCGGTTGGCCACAGCCTAGTGTTAGCTCC